GGCTGGTCTTGAACTCGCAATAATCCTCTTGCCTCAGCCTCCCGAGTGCTAGGATTACAAGCGTGTGCCACCATGCCTGACTGAAGAAGTAAAAGTCTTTAGAAGTATCTCTCTTCTTAGTACCTCAGCTCTGCTCCCCCAAAATACTTGCTATTTCTTGTTAATTCTAGAAAATTTTACTGTTTTTTCCTTTTTATATCAATGTAGTTATAATATACAGACTGTTCTGTTATATTGTACAGACTTTTTTCCCCCCAGTACTGAGGATCAATCCTATAGACTATTTTACTTAACATTTTATTTCAGGACATTTTATCCATACATAAAGATCACCTTATTTGTTTGTTTGTGGTTGAATAGTATTGCATTGCACTCCATCATTATCATTTTACTCAGTCAGTTCCCTCTTCATGAACATTTAGGTTATTTTTATGTACATTATTTTATTTTACTTTTACAAATTAGTTTGCATTGACCCTGATGTGTTTGTATCCTTGTATTGCCAGTATATTTGTAGAATAAATTCCTAACAATGAAATTCCTTACTGGAAAGGTATTGACATTTTCAAAATGATAAATCACTGTAAGTTCCTGCCAATACTAATAAGGGCAGTAAAGGAACTCTTGGTTCTCTATTATCAGAAGTTTGTATATATCAATTTAAAATGTTGGCATTTCTGGTTTTTATTTAAGATTTTAATTATGGGTGAGAATAAGTACTTTTTGATACATTAACAGGCATTCTGTGTGTTCATGTGTCCTGTTTTTACTTGGTTTTGGTTTTGGTTTTGGTTTTGTAGTATTGGAGATTGAACCTAGGACCTTCATGCTGTGCCAGTCTTTTTTTTTTTTTTTTTTTCAGACAAGGTCTTGCTAAGTCATTAAGTTGCCCAGGCTGGGCTCAAACATGAGATCTTCTTGCCTTAGCCTCCCAGAATGCTGGGATTACAGGTGTGCAGCACTATATCTGGCTTGTGTGATTTTTGATTATACATTGCTGAACTTTTAGCTGTTAAATATGTGCAAAGAGGTTGCAGAGAATGTTATTAGAAGTCCAAAGCAGGGAAGGTACTTCCTGTGGCTTGTTTGCCTGTAGAAGTCTTAGAGTATTAGTTGAGAAGACTGGGATAGTCCTTTTTGTTCTTTGTATGTTAAAACTTTAGAAGAGTCCTTGAGTTAATAAGAGCTAATGTGATTCATTCCTTTGAGTATGTATGTGTCTAGTAGAACTGTACCAAACACCCTAGGCACGTAATAAGTATTTATTAGGTAAATGATTTAACATAGACTTGGGAATCTCATCGCCAGGGTCCTAGCTTTGTGGTATTGGGGCTGTCGTTATTCTCTATTTTGTCTTATGTTTGGTGCTGGGAATCAAACCCAGGACCTGGCACATACTAGACCAGTGTTCTACTACTGTACTAAAATTCCAATGCTGCTGGATGTGATGGTGCACACCTGTAACCCCAACACTCAGGAGGCTGAGGCAGGAGAATTACCTTGAGTTCAAGACCAGTCTGGGGTGCATAGTGAGTTCAAGGCCAGCCTGAACTACATAGTGAGACCTTGTCTCCAAAGGAAAAAAATCCCAGCCTGTTATATTGTTATATTGAATAGTTCATTTGCACTACTCAAATTTAGTCGTCTTTATAAAAATTTTATATTTAAATCAGGAATGGTTAAGATTTCATGGAAAGATTTTGCCAAACTATGAAAAATACATCTTTCCCCCCTAAACTAATGCTTTTGTCCATGAAACATACATGATTGGCAGAGAAATTTGAGAGCAGTTCATTATCTGACCAGGATCATGGGCAGTTGTAGTCGGGGAAGGCTTTAGAGAGGTAGTTTAGGTGGGTAGTTAGGAGTTAATGCAATTCAATGTTATTAGACTGGGCCAAAATAGTGAAATAATTTTTTTTGCAATACTTATAAACGTACTGTTTCTCAGAAAGGACACTGGTAGCTTGAATTAAAATCTTCCCAGATCCTGGGGCTGGAAGTGTGCTGGTCAGTGGTGGAGCACTTGTGTAGCACACACAAGACCTTGAATTCAGTCCCAGCAGTCGGGGGAAGTCTCCCCTGCTCTGTTTGGGAATCTAGTAGGTGAAAAACTGGTTCAGTTACCTTACATGCCGAATTGAATTTATAATAGCGTATTTCAGACTTTCCTTGCTGAATTGGATTTATAATAGTGTCTTCCAGACCTGCTAAATGAATTTCTTACCACCAGGGTGCAGTTACTTTAATGTATTTGCTGTTCCCACTGACTCATCAGGTCTCTTGCAAAACCCAGAGTTAGGCCAAAGAGATGTAGGGGAAAGAGAAACTGTTATTATGTAATTTGAATCCAGTTCTATACTTAGGATTTATGAACTTTTCCCTGTCGTATGTATATAATTTTCAGTTTAAAAATTTAAAAAGCAAAGAAACAAATAGGCAGTGAGTCTTGACATTTCTTTTTTCTTTTGTCTTTTTAAGACAGGGTCTCGTTATGCACTTCTGGCTGGCCTTGAGCTCACTTTGTATTCCAGGCTGGCCTCGAACTCACAATGATCCTCCTGCCTTAACCTCCCAAGTGCTGGGATTACAGGCATGTGCCACCACGCCCGGCCCTCGTTTTGACATTTCTATAAGAAGTTTTACCAAACATTCAAGGAAAAATAATTCCAAACTTCCACAGGCTTTCACAAGACATACCAATTAAACACTATCTGAATCATTTTGAGTTATTCAGAACTTCTCCAAAACTTAACAATGGCAATATGAATAAAGTATAGTCTAGTTTTACTTTGAGGCTAAAGAAATAGGGGTCAAATATAGCTTCAGATAATTGACAAAAGCTAGCAGCATTATAGAAATAATAGCAATACATCAATAAAGTTTTTATAAACAGATGTTTGGTATACTGTTTTTTCTGTTTTACGGAAAAAAATGGCAAGAGGTGTAGCTGTTAGAGTGTATACTTTGTGCAAGGCCCAGGGCTCAATCCCTAGCACCCCCTACCCCCTCAAAAGAAAGAAAACATAAATATACCATGAAACAGAAATACTAATTGTTGAATAGAACCAATTGTTCTTTCAATTTTCATTTGAATTATGCAACAGAACATCAAAAGCTTCCCAGTAATATCAGCATTATTTGGGTAGTAAAATGAGAAAAAAGAAACACAGTAGTGATCTGATGGAGCCCTTTAACTCAGAGTGTTACTAAAGCCAGTCTCAGCAGGTATCCTCCAAAGGAATCTTCTTAGGATTCTGTATAATCCAAAAAAGAGCTCTAGGACATCGATTTGGTTCTTAGTTCATGGAGAATAAATATTACTTGTTATTCAGAAATTGTAGAAGTTGTGTTCCCCGTGGTATTTCCTGGGGTCAGAGTAGTGACCAGGACTACCGAAGGCTGTATCCTAAAGCAACATGAGGGGCTGGGGATTTAGCTCAGCGGCAAAGCGCCTGCTTGGCAAGCACAAGGTCGTGAGTTCGGTTCCCGGTACCGGAGAAAAACCAAAAAACTAAAGCAACATGATTCCCAACCATGATATCAAGCCAACACTTGATTCATGCCTTTCAATAGAACCACGTCTCATTTCATGCTTTTTAGTATAGCCACACCACACCTGAAGAGAGCTTTGTGCCTTATGTGGAAAGTCTTGACCACTTTTTATTTTATTTTATTTATTAATTTTATCTTTTTGAGGCAGGGTTTCACTATGCAGTTCAGGCTGGCCTCGAACTCACTTTGTAGCTCAGGCTGGCCTTGAACTTGCAGCAGTCCTCCTGCCTGAGCCTCCCAAGTACTGGGATTACAGTTGTGTACCACCACGCCCAGCCTACAGCCTTGACCTTTCGTGGCTGTCTGCAAGTCATGATTGACCAGGAACTGTATGGGACCCTCCCATTCTATATCACCACCACAAGTAGACCTTGGGGAGGACAGTCTGGGTGACATCATTGATATCATAAGATGCAGGCAAGAATCTCCAAGGATATTCTTCCATCCTCCTAAAAGCTTAATCAAAGAAGTAAGTGGAAGCTGGGCTAGAAACAGCCAGAACCAGAGTGTCTGAAAGTGAAGGTGATTTCACCAGAAACAATACTGGAGAGTTCCCAGGGTTCCTAAGAGTGGCTTGGACAGCAGACAATAAAATGGGACAGGTTTGTACTCGTGCCAGATTTTATAGCACCACTATTGTAAGGTTATTGAGCAGTGGGGAAGTACTGTACTAGGTTGAAGCTTGGAGTCT